AAAATAGAGTCAGAGAATGGATGGTAATAGGAGAGGAAAACAAGAGTGAAGCCAGCATTTTCAGGGTAGGAAAGAAAGATATAAAATAAACTTATGAGATGAACGTTATTTGCTAAGATAAGTATACCCGGCGACAATTTTAGGGGGTATATTGGCCTCTGTACATTAAAAAATGAGGTTAAATTTGATAGAAATACACGAGATGAGGGTTTAGGTGAGGTTTTTTTGTAAAAACCTATCATTTAAAATAAATTGCAACGCAATTGGGTGGGACCTATCACTTACCAAATATAAAAAGGCGTGAAAAAACCGCCCATTACCTTTTCAGTGCTATTGAATGTTAAATATTTAGTGTTGAAGTGAAACTATTATGGTAACATTCTACACATATAAAGCCACTATTCTTCTTAGCAATAGTCTTTGCTTAATAGGTTCAAAACTGGCTGTGGTTGGGATGGCACACTTGTGAGCTAGCCTTAGGAATGATGGATCTGTAGAAATGTCACCCATTAATTACCAACATCCATTTCTTTTCTTTCTTTCTTTTTCTTTTTTCTTTTTGGCTAATCCTTACCCGAGGATATTTTTCCATTGGCCTTTAGGGAGAGTGGAAGAGAGAGGGAAAGACAGACAGAAACATCAATGTGAGAGAAACACATCGACTGGCTGCCCCCTGCACTTGCCCCAACCAGGGCCCAGGCCAGGGTGGAGCCTACAACCGAGGTATGTGCCCTTGACCGGTATTGAACCCAGGACCCTTTGATTCACAGGTTGATGCTCTATCCACTGAGCCAAACTGGCTAGGGCCCAACAGCCATTTCTCATGATTGAATAAGAACACAGGAATCACAGCCTAGATTTGCATATTACACTACAATTTACACAATGTGTTTCCTTGCAACATTTCCCATGATCCTTACTTGTCTCTGGTTCTGGTTGTCAATGGGAGCAGGAACCGTTTGCTGTCTGTCCTGTGCCAGTGGTGGTGACTCCAGCAACGACGCTCCTTTGTGGGGCAGAAATATTCCTCACGCTGCCTGACGACCTGTCAGGAGTATCTTCTTGTAAAGCAGATGCTGCAAACCAGTATTTTCATGTATACTAACTGGTAGCAAAGTGAAATGCAAGTGCGTGCCATAGCAATTCATTCCCTGTTTCCCTGAACTTAATCATGACACTGCATTCCTGACCCCAGGAGTTTTAGATAATTCTATTGAAGAAGGTGAAGAATAGGCAGGGGGAAAAAGTACTATGGGGTTTTTAGAATCAGTTATTGTCCGAGTGAAAGGTTTGAAAAAGAATGCATTTATTAGAAGTATTGGGGGTCAGGAGGGGGGATGTTTTTCACACCTGTTTTCACACCTCTGAGGTGATAAGTCCAGCCCTTACCAAGTAGAATGGCAAGTTTCACACTGAACCCACCCAAGTATATTCCTACAGTCTCCGAACTCATTTATTCTACGAGAAAGGCAATGAGAACTCTCGCACCAACCCGTGGCTGAGAGAGGTCTCTGCCATCTTTGCCCTCCCATCTTCCAGATGTGGATGCCATCTTCGGCATCTCATATATGAATCTCCAGGGCGATGTACTAGGTCTCTCATGACATTGGTTCTAGATCTACAATCTTCTTTGTCTTCTTTTTTTGAATTGATTTTAGAGAGGGAGGAAGGAAGGGAGAGGGAAAACATTGATGTGGGAGAGACACATCCATCGATTGTCTCCCACACACAGCCTGACCGAAAGTGAACCTGTAACCTCGGTAAGTGCCCTGACTGGGAATCAAACCTGTGACCCATGGGGGAAAATGCTCCAACCCACTGAGCCACAACTAGCCAGGGCTCTCCTATTCTTAATCTTGATACTCTGTGAAGTAGGCATCCGAGCTGGCCATTTTACCAACACACAGTTTCTATGTCTTAGATGTTATGTCTATCCTACCTTAGTCACTCACGGACATAGATATAATTTATTTCCCATCATCTCTCATCTCTCAGAATGGCCTATCTGATTACAGTTTAGCATCCCATAATATTATAACTGGCATAACCTCAGAGATGACATAGGGCAATGCCTAACAACCAACTGACAGAACTCTTGATTTACAAACCCCAAACCTGATCTTCACCATTTTTCTTCAGCTCAGTAAATGCCAACTTCATCTATGTAGGAGTTGGAAATGACTTATCCTTGATTCCTTATTACCTTTACCACCCTATGTCTAATCCATCAGTAAAAGTTATTTATTTGCTATCCTGAATATATTCTTTCCCAAAAGCCACCACCACCTCTTGCCTTGATATGCTAAGAGCCTGTAAGTTGTCCCCTTGCTACATATTCTCTCACACTTCCCTGTGTTATTGTCTACATGTTTTTTTCTGAGATTTTATTGATTTACTTCCTTTGAGATTTTCTGGCTCTGCTACTTACTACTGGGATGTGGAAGTTCCAGGAGAGTGCAGGGTATAGAGTACACTGTAGCACATATAATTGTTCCTACAACATTGCAGGCTCTCTCAATGAATATTTGTTGAATAAATTAATCTCCTCCTACACAGACTGGAAATATGAGTCACAGTGAAGTTAAGTGAATTTCTTAGGCTCACAAAATTAGTTAGTAAATCTACCACTACAAGTTAGGTCTCTTGAATCTCAGTCTAAATCATTTGTTGTTGTACCACATATGGTTAGTATTGTTACTACCATGTGAAACTGTATTATATTGACTTAAGGAGTCCAGTACTCATAGGCCCTGGCTTATACTGTGAGGCTGACTGGGAAGTGAGTGAAACTAAATAGAAGATCAGTAACTAAGTGGGTGGCTAATGTCCAACACAGACCTGTTGTGCCAAATTCTACTCTTCAACAAAGTTATAGCTTCCATCCGGTGCAGGTAATTAGCCTGAAAAACTCCTGCACACTTGAACCTTCTGATGATCATTCAATACCACTTGGGTTGTGATGTCACCTTCTAATATAGAAGCATTTAATTTTCATGCTTGTCTCTGAGAAGTAAGTACAGTTCCACCTTCCAAGGCATATTTTTCCTTCTTTTCTTATGTTTTAATTCAAGTTTTCTAGCTTCTTCTGAGACCCTGTTTATTCAAACAACTGCAGCTCTTTCTTACTCCCCTAGCTTTTTCCTCTTCACTGCCTTCATTTGCATGCTTGACCTTTAGAGTGTGTAGACCTCCGATTGAACAAGGCCACCTCATTGACTAGCTGTTTGACAATGGACAAATTACTTACTTTCTCTGAACCTTGATTTTCTCACCCATAAAATGGGGATAAGGAAGGACAATTGTGCCAATTAAATTAAAAAAAGAAAAACATATGTAAAGAACTCCCTGACACAGAGTATGCACTAAATGGTAGCTATAAATATTATAATCAGATTTCCTTTAACTAAGAAACATTAACATAAATGCAAACATCACCCAAAATTTTCTCAGCTCCCCTATCCCTAAATAACCCTCATTTGCTCATCATTTATATTCATGGGCAAAATTCTTAAAAAATATGCTCTATATTTATTGCCTTCCTTTTCTCATAATACTGTTGTATCTGAACAGACTGGGAAGCGTGTGCTTTCTAGTGTCAAATGTTACACTCTTGATTTTTTCTATGCAAACCATGGTTATTATTAGAGTTGTTCTATTTCTCACGTATCTGTGTTCTTTCATCGCACCACGAGTGCCAGTCCTTCAGGAGAATGAGCCAATCAGCCAAAGTTCACAAAACTAGCTATAGCCCCAGAGAACTGGGATTACCTCCCAAATGTCCCATAGTCTCTCATATCATGGGAAGAGCTTATGGAGGTGAGGTGAGGCATTGGGTAAACTTACTGGGAGGGGGGTTAGTAGACAGAGTTCTAGTCGATGTCAACATCGTTTAGATTAAAGGGGGATGTGCAATTATTTGAGGGAGACTGAAATAGAAATTCAGACAGAGCTTAATTACGAAAAAAGGAAATATAACTCATGAAGAGATACTTCCCAGGGTGACATGCCAATTTATAAAGGTAAGGATGCTACTGGAAGGTGAATCTGAAGGAGGGACTTCATAGGAGGTTAGTGGACAGTAGTGACCCGGCACCATAGCAAAACAACTGTTAGAAAAAGTGAGAAGTAAGATTTCCCCTCATCGCTGCGCGGAAACCTGGTCATAGATTGGGTAGATCTCTCCATGGAAAGAGACTTCATCCAAGGACCCTGAGCAACACTGGGCAGCTGGCTCAGTGGGGTGGGAGGCAGCAATGACTTACTAGGTTTGCTTAGTTTCTTTTCATTAAGAGAGCATAGCAACCATTCTTCTTGCAAGGGTGTTTTCCAGGCATGTGCTGGCGGGCGGGGAGGGGCTCAAACCAAAGATATAAAAAGTTTCTAGAAATTCACTTGGGCTCTCAGTGCCACAGGTGTCTCTGGATAAAAGGAAGCTACCCAAAAAATTGAACTCGAGCAGCATCATAGGCTGTGCTCCAGTCTACTGCTCTACCCCCAAATGCTTCATAGTTGCCTTGGCCAAGCACAAACCATCAGCCCCATGTTTACGCAAATCATACTTAGTGAATGACATGCCTACCACATCTTTTCTTCTAACAACTAAAATTGTTTTGACATAGAGTTTCAGTTGTTTTATTTTAGTTGGAATAATACCAAAAGCCAGTTCTTGAAGATGAAACCGTGTCAATGTTAAGCAGGCAAAGGTATATCCTGGCCTCACGTGAAGCACCATGGACATTTTGAGGTCCCTGAGGTGCCTTGTTATGTGGTAGTTTCACTTGCAAGTAGGATGAGTTTGCTTGAATAGAGAATCTATCTCCTTTTATTGTTTTGTATTATGTTTATCATTCTCTTATCTTCACTATGTGCCAAACAGTTTTCCGTGGAATGATTTAGTCTAATAATTAAAAGAAGGCAATATTCTTTTGGTAGATGACTGTTTTGTCTGCATTATAACATATAATTTGCTTTTTTTCTTTGTACTATTGTTCCAGAAGAGATTCATCTTTAATTAGTTTGAGGTGTACTGTGGCATACCTTGGTCTCCAAGTAAAAGATTTTCCTTTTTCAAAATCAGATGAATTCTGAGTTGACAAGGTAAAAAAATCTGTGGTAAGATTAAAAACGCTAAGATTTTCCATTAAGAAGTTGCTTCTAGGTTGCTACAATTTAGCACTTCATCTACTGAACACCTATTAAAGAAATGCTTGTTTGCATTATGTTAGATGTAAATTAGGTGACTCACTTTCTCCATCTCTTTCTCTATATTTATTTTTAATTCTATTCTAAAGCAGGAACTAGAACCAAATGAAATTAAAGCCTCCTTTTGGTTTGATTGGTCTAATATTCTTCGATGAGCAGAGTATGACTCACAGCCTGTCCCCTTTTTATTAATAATTAAATTGAGACATTGAAAGATTATATAAACTTATAGTAGCAGATTAAATATCAAGACTGTAGTCCACTGAACAGCACTGCTATGTTTAAAACAGGTATTTCCAATATTTTCCTCAGATAATTTTAATATTTGACATTATAGGATGGATATAGAAAAGTACAGTAATTAAAAACAAACATCATATTTTATTTTAGTTTTATTGGAAAGGGGTTTTCACTTTGGATGGAAAAGAAGGTAAGATCCATAACGTGCCTGTAACATTTATTTTTTGCATTTGCTGCATTGACAAATACTTTGTTATAAGTGGTGACCAGTTCTTCTTTATTTTAGAAAATGTTTTTGTTTCTCTCTTAACCAAAGTAAAATTCATGTTTGTTATAGAAAATTTAGTAGGTAACAATATATGAAATGAAAAATTTAGAAAACACCCACAATTATATAATCATAACTATTGTTAATATTTTGGTTCACTTAATTACAAATATTTCATCTGTGCATGTTATGTTATATGCACATTTTAAAAATATAAATCCTACTGTAATTTATAAAATCTCTTTTTATGCAAGATCATATATTGAATTTATTTTAGTATCATTAAATATTCTTTCATACCACTCTTTACCTTGGCTGCATCATGATTTATTTAGTTAAATCCCTATTGTTGAGCATTTAGTTTGTTTCCAATCTTTTCAAGATTTTAAACATGCTTGGCAGAAATGTTTCATGTAGTCAAATATTTGTCTATACTCTTGATTATTCTTGTAAGACATATCTCTAGAAGTGGAACTGCTTTTAGTTCACATTAGTAGCCTTTTCTTCAGAAAGGTTACACTAATTCACATGTGAATTAGATTGTAGCTAATTACTTTAAAACCTCATAGCTATTCCTCTTGTGGCAACCAAACATACCGACTTGTGTGGTGTGGCAAGTTGGTAATTCAAGGGTCAGAAATAAATGGCTAAATTCTGCAATGCCGTGATTATTTGAGGCATATTAATTTGGCACAATTCTTTTAGCTGTCTGCTTTGGCTGGTGTTATCTGGATCCATCAGATGTTTTACTATTCTTCTGCAAGAAGCCTCAAATAAATTGAAAAAGGGAGCCTGTCAGTTGCAGTCTAACATGGTATATTAACACTCAATCCAAATCCAGGCAAATGTCATCCATTAATCACAGGCCAATATAACAAGCAAGAATTGTGATATTAACCAGGAAAAGGTTCAAGGATAACTCTGAAGCAGAGCATCTGACCTATTCACCCAGGAGGCTATCACACAAATTAACGTGCTCAACATTAGCACTGGCAATGCTCCCAAGGCTCGTCCAGGCTTGCTGCTCAGGGGACATGGGCAGGAAGAAGACCCAGACATAATTTCATCTTTCAATCTTGACATTTCTTTCCAAGCTTTGAAAATTTCCTCTGCAAATTTTACTAGACGGAGGGTGGCAGAGATCATGTATCATTCACATTTTCAGATTCCAAATTGTGAAATAAACAAAAATGGGTATTAATGTTTTCATCCGTGTCTATGAACCTCTCCATAAGGCACGCAGTCTATCTGTGAGTCATGCAGCAGAGAAGAAAAATGAAAATATCAAACCTTCCCCCACTTCCACCCCTAAAAATGTTTCTAGCCTCAAAAAGGAACTTAGTTCTCGGCAATTTTAGCCTAAAAATGCTTCTTCAGCTTTTCTTAGACTGGCCACCTCAAAATGCAAGTGAAGACAAAACTGGCCCATAAGATTAATTTTTGGTAATTGAATTTACATCTTGAAAACTAAGCTGTTTCACTTCCTCATGAAAAAAACCAAATTTCTTAAAGATAGGTTTCCATTCCATGTTTGTAACCCATAAAGTGCCGAGTCTTTTATGTGTATTTTGTGGAATGAAGGAGAATGTCCTGTCTTCACAAAAGGAAGATGTTGTTATTACTGGCAATGCCTTGTGGTGGCGAGAACACCTAGATATGCCGGCTCGGAGCCCCAGCTTCTCCTCCCTGCTGTTCCAGTACAAGCCGTGCCACCTCTGCCAAGTTAATAAATCTCTGTGAACTTTAGTGTTCATGGTTATAAAATGATGATACGAATTAATGTTTCTCCTTAGAGAACAGGTTGTTTGATGATTAGTACATTTCAAGTGATAAGTATTATTAATATTATTATTATTTTGTTCAATGTCTTACTGTTTTCCTTATCAAAATTCTTATTTCCCAGTGTTGGGGTTGGAATGGTAACCTAAGTCAACCCTCTTTGTATCTAGTGTTTTATTTTCTTAAATTTTGTAAATTTTCATTTTCTTAAATTTTATTTTTTTAAAATTTGAAATGATATATATTTTTTACTTCATTTAATTATTATTTTTTCTCTCTTCCCTTTCCTTCTTTTTTAAATTGAAGGATAACAAACTTGCAGAAAAATGCCCAAGTCCTAGGTGGAGAGGCCCATATAAACATCATCTTCATCCAGGGGTCATACATACCCTTTCTAACCTGCTACCTATATTTCCTGCCCCACGAGGACCAGAAGCCTACCTTCCAGCACTATTCCTCCGTTTCCCGTGATGCTATGCCAAAGTGCAGTGGCATCAGGGCACCTACTAAGCTGTGTGACACAGCAAACTGCTTAAACTCTTGCTGGCTTCAATTCTCATCTTTGCAAAACAGGAGGTTGAACTTTTAAGAATTTTTTTTCCATCTCAACATTTAACGATTCTTCTAAAGGACACTCTGTTTATCTAGGTTAGTATTATTTTTGTACAACATCTTCTGTGGTTTGTTAGTTCAGGTGGAGATTCACTGAAGCCTGTTCTAAATGAAAGGTGTCCAGTTAACCCTCTACTCTACCCCAGAGACAAACACCCCTGTGACCTCACCAGCCACATAAACATGGTCCCAGAGGAGTAGATGCCAGAGGACTGATGAGCTGAGGAACTAAGGGAGCGCCCCTCTCCTCTGCTTGGTGCGTTGGGCAACATCTCATCACACAGAGTGCAAAATTCTCTATAACTTGATTGTTTTAGATCCCTCACTCAGTTGTAGGAAGAATATGAACTGCCACTTAGCAATTAAAATACTGTCTGGGTAGCAACAGCGACTACTTCAATGCTAGGATTGAAATATCCTGTCTGCCTTAGTGATCTATCTAGAAGGAACCTGCAGGTCTACGACTTCTGTCCTCAGAAACTGAGAGTGAGGAAGAACAGATTAGGATAACTTCCTCCAAAAGTCAACAGAGGAAGCATTGCCACCTTCCTCCACAGTCTTGCAACACGTGCTCGGCCATGGGTTGAGTTTTCTGTAGTTCTAAGGGTCCCCAAGCATGAGCCGTTTGTTTAGACACTTTTATTTTATGATCTTTCTTGAATGATTCCTTCAAAGGGAAAGACTCAGTTTGACAGCCACCAAACAAATGAGTGAATCAGAACCTACTTTTCAATCGACCCAGAAACCCAAGTACTCTGCCCCTGATGTTAAGTGTACAAATTTTCAGCACTCAAGGGACATATTACCCCAGTACTTCTGGTACCCGTCCTCACTCAGGACACAGGCCTTTACCTGGGACCCAAAGTAATTTCTTTCCCAAGATGCTCATGTGGTGAGGTAAGAACTCAAATTCCTTTTCCTTGAGAAATACTGGGTAGAAATGCATGGCCCAAAGGAACAATGAGAACTTAATTGCTCCCAATCAGGGTGCCTCCAAGCATATTTGCCATTTATGGCCACGGCTGCCCAGGATAGGGGCCCTGGTGAGCCACAGATTCACAATATATGTTGTGCCACATCTTGATCCAACTTTAGGAAAAGTAGGAGGCACATTTCCTCCTCTGGACTGTTTTGGAAAGGGACTTTTAGCTCCTCCTGCAGGGGAAACCCATATTCAACAGGAGCCCAGCATTGTCCCCTCTGCAGCCTTGTTAGTTGAGGAGAATGCTTTCTGCTTACTTTTGTCAAAGTTGCTTAAATACAATTACACTCCCAACCGGCATTTCCCCCAGCTCCTCCAGTGTCAAACAAGAAACCCAACCCCCAAATCTAAACACCAGACAAGTAGCTTGAAAAATGAAAATAAATTTTCAAATCCAAAAGCCGTGTGCTTCTGTGATTGAAAATCTTTTTCTTAGCGAGTGGGAGTCGCTTTCATCATTGCTGGTCATATGTTTTTGTTTTTCCTTTCTGGTGGAGAAGTTTTCTAGGGTATTTTTCAAACTTTCCAGCTTAGCAAAGCGTTGGCTAAAATTGAAAAGAGAACTAGGCGTTGGGTTGGAGGCAGCATTAGGTTTGTTCTTGTGGGGGAGCAGGTTGCTGACACAGCGAAAATAAGACAAAACATTTGAAACTTCTGGCTTTGTACTTCTCAAATGCCTCTTTTAGAAATCGCTTAAGTCGTTATTAACATCCACCACCCACCTTCCCTTTTCGGTCCTGACATTGGGTAATAATAGATAATGTTGACATATGTTCCCTGCTGGTCCGAAATACTATACTTCTGTGAAAGGTAACATTTTCAAGCTATGACAAAATGTATTTTACTTGGACAGAGCATTAGTTATTGGACTAATCTCCGAATGTGGGCTGTGGGGTAAAAGTTTTAACATTTCAGTTGTGGGAGAAAGTTTGTTGGGAGAGTAAAAGCATCAGTATGGGGTGCGTTTAGCTTTCACCATTTCTAGAGGCATTGGCTTCGTGTCAAACTCTTATGTCCTTAGGAATGTGAAGGAAACATTCCCAGTATGTATGAAGAACAGCTGTCCATGGACACAGCAACTTTTAAAAATGATTATACCCAACTTTACTGCAGTATGGATTATGGAATCAAAAAATATTTTTCACTGTGTACCCAAGAATTCTGTTTTATGGGCCAGTTTTAAAGCTTTTAACTGCATGAGACATATGCCGCAGTTCTGTTGTTTGTTCTCCATGTGATGTATTCTGAAATATGTTGAGAGAGAGAGAGAGAGAAAGAGAATGAAATTCTTCTGATCAAATGTGGTCCTCAAACCACGTTTGAAACTAATTTAGGGGATGAATAAGGAAATGCCCCAGCTGGCTTCCATGCTACTGAAGTCTGAACAGCCTTTGCAAAACTGGAAAAATTGATTTTGTTTTGAAGGCTCACGCAGACTTTAGTGTTGTGAAAGTTGGACAGAGTTTTTATTGAATCTGGTCCTTTGTGTTTTATGACAGTCTGAATGGGTGTTAAGATTCCACGAATAAGTCTCTTGCCGTTTCTGAAATTCCTGATATAAACATGGGCTCCATCAATTTGTTCTCTGCACAAATGTCTCTCAGAATGTTAACAAACATGGGTGGGCTGGCCTATGGGAGAGCAGTCTGCCTTCCTTGGAAGAGCATATGCATGATTTTTCTTTTGTTTTTCAAAGCTGGGAGGGGGGCATTGAGAACTAGGGACTGATAAGGGGGAGGTGAGGTGTTGTCGTAAAGAATGAGATTTGAAGATAAAGAAGAGTTAGCTCTGGGCTATTGGGGAAGTGTTGTTCGTGGCCTTCAATTGAAAATCTGGCCAAGACACTACATCAAAGGGATTGTGGGTTAGCCCTCAGGCAATGAATTAGTTATCTTGTTCAGTGCTTCAGGTGAGTCACTGGGAAGAACACAGGTAACACTATATTCTAAAAATTTAGCCTTGCTATGTTCTGCATCAGTTTGTGATTTTGAGTGTTCTTGAAATTCAAATATCAAATTGATAATATCCTAAAATTAGGTGGTTTTTTTAAACTAAATACTGTAATTTAAAGCAAGCAAGCAAAAAATTCTCAATTTTCATGACAAAAATTAGATCATGCACTATATCAAGACTGTTGAAGGAGAACTGCGATAGTATTTCAGGAAAAGTTAGGTTCCTCAATTAATGGTACTGAAAAATTGCAAATTGTATAATTACTGAAAACTTGTATATTATACTGGTACAATTGGAAATTCTCTAATGTACAACTATCATTGTAACTATCATTCTGAACCTAGTATTGGATTTTCATGTTGAAGCACAAGTGGGCTAAATCTTATTTTTCAGGTATTTAATGTCCAAATTGGAGCTGTCATGGCTTCTTTTTTTGAATCAATGAGAATTTGTTACGTGGTTAACCTGCCAAACAGCATCCAGCTCTCTCCTTAGTTTATTCATAGTTGCTCTTCTAGGGTGATTAACTGGTATATGGAGCCATTCCCTAGCTGTATTCTCCCCTACAAATGGTCCTTCATGGAGAGTTGGTGAAGAATCTGAGTAGCCATTTTGGTTGAATTTACATTCACGATGAAATCAACGAGCTAACAGGGATGCTTCAAGGGAGACTTTAATACTCTCTGTTATTGGCATTATACCGTTGGCCAGTTCCTTCATGTGCTTCTCTTTGTGGGCCAAATTCTGCCCTCTGTTTCTTACTTGAGATTCCCACTGAAGTAGTAATTACCAAGTAGAAGAACACTAAAATGTTCGGCCAAATTCTGTTCTAAGTTGCTATCATGTAACTCCCAATGAAGTTAATTATGATTTAGTAAGAACTAGTGCTGCAGTGTCTTAAGGGCTTTGGAACTCTGATCTGCCATCCAAGACACCAGGCCGCCAGTCTGCCTTTAAATATCTCATTTTAAGAGGCAAATCGACTCCGGTGAAGGTAAGAAATGGCTATGCCAGTAACTACATATGTAATGGGGTTTAAAGAGTAGAATTTAACATCTTTGAGCTTCAAGACGTTTCATCTTTTTGCAGTTTCCCTTTTTAGGGGAGAGTCTTTTTTTTTTTTTTTTTTTTTTTTTTTATAGAAACTTTAATTCTATCTTGCATTAGAGTCCATTGGTATGAGTTACCTCCTGTCCCATTCTCTCAGCATCTCTTAGCTATAATGATATGTAATTTTTATTTCCATTAATTGTAAAACATTTGCTTAAGTCATCACTGCTTAGCTATTATTTCCTGGAGCTAAACCATTCTCTTCCTTAAATACAGATGTTTATATTATGCATAATATAATTTCTGTCATAAGAATTCATTGTAACTTTTCAAAATACTTTGGCTCTCATTTAGCATATGTCTCAGTTTAGCCTTTTATTATTTTTTAATGGAAAAAAAGGGGCCTCATGACTTACTGAATTTGTAGGCTTTCGTCATTTTGCAAGTAGGGTAGAAGGGGCATGCCTTTGCCCTTGGGTTGGTGTGAGCAGAACACACTGCTTTGGGGACCATTTACTGGATAGTCTCAGGTTAAGATTCCTCTGAACATTGACATGTAGAGGTGTCCAGCTTCTGGGATCCTTTGGCTTGTATCAGAGACCCTGGTGGCCCAGAGCGTATGTATTAGAAAACAGGCAGGTCAGGGAAGATGGTGAATAGTGTCTAGTTATGTATCCTGTGGGAGCTTGAAGATGAGACTGGATTCATGTTAAAAAACCTTTCTAGGTTAGAGCCATGGAATAATTAGCTCATCCTTACAGTAAACTGGGCTTCACAAAGACTGATTTTAGTTGCCTTCAGAGTTGCCCAAGTTAAAAGCTGCCTTTCTATATATTGCTAACAAAGATACCAGGGCAAAAGGGGCATTGAGAATTCACTTTCAGAATTAGAAGCATAGAATATTAGCGTTAGAAGGAACTTCCTTCCTTGCTCCCTCTTTCTTCGTTCTCTTTCTTCTTTCCTTCCATCCTCCCTTATACCCAAATTTTCCTCCTGTATATAAGCATTGATTGAACTCCTAGTATTTGACAGGCACACTGACAACTGGGTA